TACTTGTGCCACTTTTTTTTTTTTTTTTTTTGCAAAACAGGATATGCTTTATTGAAATAGTAAAGGCAATACCTGATATAGCAGAATTTTTTGGTCAGATTTATTATCTAGATTTGTGGTCACTAGAATCTTGCCCCCTGCCTCCTTACTGATTTTTTTTGATTTGCTTATTTGTCACACTGAAATGATTGAGATCATCAAACAAATTTTAATATAACACAAAGATAACCTGAGTAAATACAAAATTCAGTTCTTAAATGATGATTTCATTTATTAAGGGAAAAAAGCTGTCCAAATCTGACTAGCACTATGTGAAAAAGTAATTGCCCTCCACCTTTGGAAATTAACTAACTGTGATTAACCACATTTTTTGGAAAGCTGAGTTAAATATCACTTGCCACACCCAGGTCTGATTACTGTTTATTCAAGAAATCATTCAAATAGAAGCTGTCTGACAAAGTGAAGAATGCTGAAAGATCATAAAAAGCAACACATCATGCTGCGATCTAAAGAAATTCAAGAACAGATGAGAAACAAAGTAATTGAAATATATTAGTCAGGGAAGGATTAAAAAGCAATTTCTAAGGCTTTGGGACTCCAGCGAACCACAGTGAGAGCCATTATCCACAAATGGGAGAAAACTTGGAACAGTGGTGAACTTTCCCAGGAGTGGCCGTTCTACCAAAATTACTCCAAGAGCACAACAACGACTCATCCAAGAGGGCTAGAAGAAGCTAGAACAACATCTAAAGAACTGCAGGCCTCACTTGCCTCTTTTAAGGTCAATGTTCATGATTCAACAATAAGAAAGAGACTGGGCAAAAATGGCATCCATGGGAGAGTTCCAAGGCGAAAGCCACTGCTGACCAAAAAGAATACAAAGGCTTGTCTCACATTTGCCAAAAAACATCACGATTATCCCCAAGACTTTAGGCAAATATTCTGTGGACTGATGAGAAAAAAGTAGAACTTTTTGGAAGGCGTGTGTCCCATTACATCTGGCGCAAAATGAACACAACGTTCCATTAAAAAGATCATCATACCAACAGACAAACGTGGTGGTAGTGTGAAGGTCTGGGGCTGCTATGCAGCTTCAGGACATGGATGACTTGCCATGATTGATGGAACCATGAATTCTGCGCTGTACCAGAAAATCCTGAAGGAGAATATCCAGCCATCAGTTTGTGACCTCAAGCGCACTTGGGTTATGCAGCAGGACAATGATCCGAACCACACCAGCAAGTCCAACTCCGAATGGCTCAAAAAGAAAAAAACAAAATTAAGGTTTTGGATTGGCCTAAGCAAAGCCAGGACTTAAATCTTATTAAGATGCTGTGACATGACCTTAAACAGGTCATTCATGCTTGAAAACCCTCCAGTGTGGCTGAATTAAAACAATTCTGCGAGGAAGAGTGGGCTAAAATTCCTACACAGCAATGTGAAAGACTCATTGCCAGTTATCGCAAATGCTTTATTGCAGTTGTTGCTGCCAAGGGTGGCACAACCAGTTATTAGGTTTAGAGCTAATTAATTTTTCACATAGGGCCAGGCAAGTTTGGACAGCTTTTTTTACCCTTAAAGTGGTTCTAAAGGCTCAAGGTGTTTTACCTTCATGTATTTTATGCATGAAGGTAAAAAACCTGTGCGCAGCAGCCCCCCGAATCCTTACCTGAGCCCCCTCCAATCCAGCAACATTCTTGACAGCCTCTGCTGTCTGGGGACTCTTCCTCCTCATCGGCTGAGACAGCAGTGGAAGCCCATTGGCTGCCACTGCTGTCAATCACAGCCAGTGAGCCAATGAGGAGAAAGTGGGGCCAAGCGGCAGCTCTATGTATCTTATGGAGGCAGGGATGAGCATGCAGCAGTGCCCCCGGAGGGCACTGCTTGAGAGGGAGGAACACCGGCGAGGACCCAAAAAGAAGACTGGGGCTGCTCTGTGCAAAATCACCACAGAACATTGACTTAGTGTATTCATTCTTATAATCTAAATGAACAAAAATGCAAATATCATAAGGAAAAGGTAAGTACATACCATACATTTAGCACCACTTCAGATTCATGAAATTAGAATCATTTCTCCCTGATTAGGTGCAAATGATTAGAACCTTAGGGATCTTATTTAAGTATCAGATATCTAGTGTTTGTGTGTTCTTTTTACTGTTGTCATGTGTGGGGTCTAGGGTTCTCATGGTAAGATCAAAAGAGCTCTCCGGTGATCTTAGAAAGATGGTTGTGGATGCCTGTGTATCTGGCCAGGGATTTTGAAATATTTTCACATTATTAAATCAGTCTTTAACGTGGTAAGGAAAATGTGGCATAATAATGTGGCTTAGATATTAAACAACTGCTAATTTGTTGAGGACAAGCCAGCCCAGAAAATTCATCCCAAAATTCTAACTGCTGCTAAGAAAAAGTCCCCAAAAACCCAAAAATGTAATTGCTGTATTTGCAGCTAACACTTACAACTGGTATCAAAGTGCATGCATCTACAATGGGAAAGAGATTGCACCAATTTAACCTGCATGGGGGTATGCCCAGAACAAAGCCTTTCCTTAGCCTCTGATTACAGTTTGTCATTTAACATGCAGGTAAAGGCTTGGCTTCTGGAACAATGTGGTGTCAACTAATGAACCAAAGATAGAATTATTTTGCTAAAGTCACATCAAGTTGCAAACTGAATGCGGCATTTAAGAAGAACCTCTTACCAACTGTGAAGTGTGGTGAAAAAGTTATGGTTTGGGGTTGCTTTGCTGCTTCAGGGACTGTGTGGCTTGCTGCCATTAAGTCATCTATGAATACTACATCATTCTAAACTGTGCTTGATGAAAATATTAAGCAGTCTGTCCCAAAGATGAACTTGAATTGGAAATGGACCTTTCAACCTGATAATGATCTGAAGCATGCTAGCATATCCACCAAGGAATAGCTCAAAAAAGAAGAAATGGAGGGGTTATGAACAGGCCTAGTCAAAACATTCAAATCTAATTTAAATGCTATGTGTGTGGGAAGGGGTGGAGGCGAAACAGGCAGTGTACTTACTTTTTCATATTACTGTAAATAAGGAAAACATTCTATGCATATATAATGGACAAACATGGCTGTCTTATGCTTTCCGCTGTAATATATGCCTTCTAAAATAATGGGGGTGGGGTATAGAGTGGTAAAATAATTTTTTGCTGTTATTATAAATTGCTTATTTTATAGGAAATAACTTTGTTTTACTGAACAGTTACTGCTTCTTGAGATGTCACTTACACCAACTAATTTCATGTTACCATAAACACAGAGTTTGAGTATTTCCTATCTGGGCCACTTATAGCTGGAGCTGGAGTTTATATTCTGACATATAGTGGTTGATTTACTAAAACTGCATCTCTGCATAGAAACCAATTAGTTTCCAGGATTTGTTGTCAAAGCTTAATGGAACAAGCTGAAGTGAGAAGCTGATTGGCTACCATGCACAGCTGCACCAGATTTTGCGCACTCCCATTTTAGTAAATCAGCCCTATAGTCTGCAGCGTGTGTTAATATCTTATTTAGCTGTGCATGTTTCCTCCATCTGACTCTGATTAATCTGCTTTATTGTAAACCCTCACCTTGTAAAACAACCCATTTTGTGCAGCATAGATATAAAAAAAAATATAAAGACATTTTTCCCCCATTTTTATAAGTGATCACATTCCCTCTGTTCTCAGCTGCATAAGAGCTGGGGGAGGAGAAACAGCAGTACACTGATCTCAGTGAATGGATGTGCAGAGGGGACGTGTCACCAGATGTCTGATCATTAGAGAACAGTAGGCAGAGTTCCCAGCATAGCTAGAGCACTGACCACGATGCGTTCTCTTGCTTAGTGTGGTCAGTTTTTAATAGGAAAGTAGAGGGACAGGCAGGAACACCATGGATTTCACACAAAGGAGGCAATACAAAGAGAGTATGTGTTCTTGAGTCTTGTGCATCCCATAGTAACTGGATTTGATACAAAGGGGCAGCAAGAAACATTTAAATTAAATTTGTGAAAAATGCATTTCTTAAAGGGAATGTGATCTTATATTTGCTTTATTTATCATCAGGATTTTTTTTTTTTTTGGGTAAATATGAAATACACTGCTCAAAAACAATGTTGCAGGCAGCATAACGTTCTCCACACCTTCTCCAGACCCTTTCACGTCTGTCACATGTGCTCAAGGTGAACATGCCCTCATCTATGAAAAGCACAGGGTGCCAGTGGTGGACCTGCCAATTCTGGTGTTCAATGGCAAATGCCAATTGAGCTCTATGGTGCCAGCAGTGAGCACAGGGCCCACTAGAGGACCTCAGGCCACCCGCATGAAGTCTGTTTCTTATCGTTTGGACAGAGACATTCACACCAGTGGCCTGCTGGAGGTCATTTTGTAGGGCTCTGGCAGTGCTCATCCTGTTCCTTCTTGCACAAATGAGCAGACATGGGTCCTGCTGACTAGTATTGACACTGACCCTAGCCAAATGCAAAACTAGTGAAAAACACTCAGAAAAGATGAGTAGGGAAAAAAATGTGAGTGACCTCCACCTGTTAAACCATTCCTGTTTTGGGGGTCATCTCATTGTTGCCCATATGGTGCACCTGGTATTAATTTTATTAACACCAAAGCAGCTGAAACTGATTAACAACCCCCTCTACTACTTAACCAACCAGATCAATATCCCAGGAGTTTAATTGACTTGATTCTATACTCTGATTAAAAAGTGTTCCTTTAATTGTTTTGAGCAGTGTATATATATATATATATATATATATATATATATATATATACACATACACACACATACTGTGTATGTGTGTATATGTATTGCCAAAGGTATTGGGACGTCTGCCTTTACACAAACATGAACTTTAATGGCATCCCAGTCTTAGTCCATAGGGTTCAATATTGAGTTGGTCCACCCTTTGCAGCTATAACAGCTTCAACTCTTCTGGGAAGGCTGTCCACAAGGTTAAGGAGTGTGTCTATGGGAATGTTTGGCTCGAGTCCAGTGGCAGCATGCTTTATACCACTGCATCCGATGCTTTGCATTGCACTTGGTGATGTAAGGCTTGGATGCAGCTGCTCGTCCATGGAAACCCATTCCATGAAGCTCTATACGCACTTTTGTGTGCTAATCTGAAGGCCACACAGAGTTTGGAGGTCTTTAGCTTCTTACTCTGCAGTCAGTTGGCAACTTCTGCGCACTGTGCACTTCAGCTTGTGCTGACCCCGCTCTGTCATTTTACGTGGCCTATCACTTCGTGGCTGAGTTGCTGTTGTTCCCAGTTGCTTCCACTTTGTTATAATACCACTAAAAGTTGACTGTGGAATATTTAGTAGCAAGGAAATTTCACGGATGGACTGATTGCATATGTGGTACCACGCTTGAAGTCACTGAGCTCCTGAGAGTGACCCATTTTTTCACAAATGCATGCCTAGATGCTTGATTTTTTTACCCCTGAATCCAATGATTTGGAGAGAGAGGTGTGTGTGTGTGTCCCATTAATCCTTTGTGTTTTTGTCTGATAAATTTTCCATTGCTGTTGTTCCCATTTGCTTCCACTTTGTTATAATACCACTAACAAAGGAATAATGGGTGTTATTTACACAGTAGTACATATAAACCTACTGCAGAATTTCTTCATCGGTGGTAACATTATGGAAGGTATGTACTAGAGCGGGGGTAGGTTGAGCCTAGTGTTTCCTAAAATGTTTGTAAAACATTGAGGGTATCAGACAAAGCCATCATTAGTCTGACGTCATCACTGCCACGCTGCCTGGCTTTGAGGGAGGACATGCACGCCGGCCAGACAGTCCGCTATTCCCCTCCAGCTACCACGCTGCTCCAGCGGCAAGCTGACCTCTCCACACCGCAGCAGATGACGACTCTTCACCCTACTGTTTAACCATGGTTTTTATGCTTACTATTACCTTATCTATGTGAGTGTTCCTACACATATATACTTAAATAAAGAAACATATTGCACTTAGAGGCACTTCTCTCCTTCTCTCGTCTACAGAGTCTGCTACAGCCTATTTGGAAGCTTTGCCCTCAGTGCTACATGGATCCCCATGTTCTACATAAAACAACCATAGCTACCACCATTACCCCATACCAAGATCACCAAGGACTTTCATCAGTATTTGCGCTGATACACCCCCCTCATCTTTTCTTACATGGGGTCAAGGCGTCATTTTTGTTGTTTTTTTTTTTTTCATTATAATAGGCTGAGCGTTACGCACTGCATTTTCTGGACTAGGTTACAGATACCCTGCGGGATGTATATTGATGATTGCTAGGTCTAAGGCTATCCATGTAAAAGGGACTACCATATTCTAGCCAATTGTCACAGGTGACACTGTTCTGGGTTACTATGTAAATCCCTGTGAGGGTCAACGATGTGTCTGATATATCTGTTTCTACTGCTTTGTACAATATTTACCATGTCATTTTGTGCCTTGTTAATTTTTTCAAGTAAAGCTCATTTGGTACCAAAAGTCATGAGGCCCAATACAGCCTACCTGACTGAAATTCTCCCCCCTCCCTCCGTGTCATATTCTTTAACCTTCTCCCCCCCTACACACACACACATATACACACGCTCAATGTCCCCACAGCCTTCAAGTGACCCACAGATGCAAAGGCTTCTAGATACTTTATTATATTGGCAGCAATGGTTATTGGCATACCAACAGACTTTGATACAAAGTTGGTAAGCTCAAACAGACCAAAACTAAAGCAAAATGTGAGTGTGTATGGTGTGGGTGACTAGCAACCTCAGAGCCATTGACAGGCAGGATTGACACAATAAGATCTGATACTGCTGGTTTTAGTTTTTTTCCAGTGCATTGTACTGCCTCTGTGTATTGCCCAGGCATTTCCTGTGGTGTCCCCTGTAACCTTTCTCATTCTCAGTTCTAGTCTCTCCAATCTCTAGCCATACCCATGCCCTACCTCTAGGTACAGGAAGTCTTCACTCACTCATTTGTCCAAGGCTTGGCAGTCAGGCTCTCCTACTACAGTTTTTTTTTTCATGTTTACAGATCTTGTTAATGTTTTCAACTCCCTGTATATTATTGAATAACTCCCAGGTCTGCTAGACCCACACTGCCGGCATGGTACTGGATTTGCCCCACCACACCGACTCTCACAGCCCATAGTGCACATACTGTATGTCAGCAGTGATTCTTTACAATGGGTTCTGCATACTCATAGCAGAGCAGAAGAGACTCTTGTAATGCAAGAATCAAAAAATGGGTGCTGATGCTGGCAGGTTAAAACTGCGTGCCATTTGACATTCACGCTGCAGGTTACCAACCTCTGGAGTTTAATAACTACATCCAATTGGAAAGAAATTGCTATTTGACATATTTCTTAGTCTGGTAGAATGACCTTCTTGCCTTATAAGTGTCTGAATGGAAACGTGTCTGTTTTGCCTTCAGAAACATTTCAAATTCTTCCATTTTCTAACCAAATCGACATTCTCATTCCAGGCATTTGAAATGTACAAGGCCTAGTGTGTTTAAACAGCTATTCGGCTCATAAAAATACAACACAGAAATTCCTCTGTTAAAACTTCTTATTTAGTAATGTTTCCTCAAAGAAAATGTACTTTCTTTCCCCGACCTTTCAGCTGCAAGCTTGTCTAGCTTCTTTTTTGGCTTTTTTAGCAATTTACAGCCATGGTAGTAGATTTTATATATTTCTTTTTATGAGTGGGTTTTCCTGGACTGTAAAGCTGGTTTAGTGGATCCTTTTTGTACTCTTACTACATCCTCTGTGTATATTGTTCCCTGTTGTGCTGTGCCAAAGCTGATGATCCTTTTAAAGAATAATGAATGATGAAAATTGTAGTTTAAGAGACATATTATACGTGTATTTCTCTCCAGGGCGTAGCCTGTCTGCACGCTATCCATGTCATAAATTGTATAATTTCCCCTCCCAGGAAAAAAAAAAAACCACACAGGATTTCTTTATTTTTACGACTAAACGCATCTACAAAAGGCTTCAGCTAGTAAAGCTTCATAGAGCAGACCATCACAGGGGCAATTATGTGTTTGCCAAATGATCAGTTGACAGTGACATTAACCTCAGAACAATTAGAGCATGTAGCAGCCAAGCACATTAATATTAGAAGAGCACAAACAATGATCTCTAGGTAAATAATGCTGTGTGGACGTCATCCTATTGTGCTCAGGAAGGATATGTAACAGTACAAGAAATAATTATAAACCTGGGAGAGGGTTAACTTGTAAGTGGTCTACTCTATATGTTTTTCTTTCTGTTTTGTTTTATGTAGAACTGTTATCCGTCTAATGGACAACAATTGACTTATTTTCTGGAAGTGCAGACAGAATCCGGTATGGAGTTTGGACATGTCTGCTAATAGCACAAATCAGATTATAACATTTTACTCCATGCAATTTAAGATCATTTCCTGAGTGTACTGAAAGCCTCAGCTGACAACAGATCTTGGCATGGTTACAAAAGTTAATTTCCGATTGACCCCTCCCAGATAGATCTGCTCACTGTTTGGCTTGCAGACTATCTGATAAATAGGCTACATCTAGCCTGAAAAAGCTGTGACATATTTGTGTTAATTCTTATATGTATTTGAACTACTATGATGTTTAATATTCACTACTCCTAATAGAATAAATATAGCATATGGAGCAGACAGTGTTTTTGGCACATTATATGTAGTTGTAGCATAAAATTCTGAGCTTTTTTCTTATATTAGAGGTAGTAGTAATTGCTCACCGTTTGACCATACTAAAGACAGTAAAAAATTAACTCAATTATCACAGGTATTCCAGATTATTAGTACACAGCTACATTTTGGCCTGTTTGGATTATTAAATGTGAAATTTCTTGTTAGGCTACATATTTTTCACAAACCATCCCAACCTTTAGAAATGGATACCACTTTCATGCTTTGTTCAGCATCTGCAACTGCTCTTCTCCAGCCATTGAATGTATCTTGAAACCCCACTTTCCCCAACAGATTACAAAAACTCTGAGGGTCCATTCATATTTATGCATTCTATTGTGGAGCAGTGATGCAGTCACAATAATGCACACTATGGTATGTAGCACAAAGTATAAAAACATATGTATGACCTTTTTTTTTAGCAATGCATTGCACCAAAATGTATGATATATGCTTTGTCGTGTTCTGTGGTGCGCTGTTCATTGGGTTTATTGTACATATATTGAGGTACCGTTCACAAAAAACGGCTCAGCACATGGAGCAGGTAAGTTGCCATGCGCCTTGTAGACACCTGTTAATGCACGTGCTTTTGTGTGTTATTCCACATCAGAGGCCTACCCCTACAAATGCTATCCACATCCACCCTTCAGCCAACTACAAATGCTGCTTCCAGATTTATGCACCTTACTATTTGCTCAGTGTCCGCCACACCTCTTCTCCAATCCCGCCACTGGCTTCTGCACACCCAACTAATCACTTTGAAATAATATCAACATACATAACCATCCACAATCCCATCTCAAAATATCAGAAAACTGTCCTGTTCACTTCTCCCAAGACCTCTTGCCCTCTATCTGCTTTGTCATCTCCTCCCATGCTCACCTCCAGTTGGGACTTATCCCAAACCTCTCCCGACATCTGGAACTCTCTACTCCAATCTGTTTAACTATCTCCCACACTTTCTGACTTCATGCGTTTCCTAAAAATTAATTTCTTCATGAAACCTAAAATGTCTCTACCTAACAATGGAACTTTTACTTTTATTGCCTTTTTGGTAACACTTGCTCTTCTCTTTTAGATTGTAAGGTCTCATAAGCAGGGCTGCTCCTTACTCTCTTGTCTTGAAATGTATTTCAATTGTACTGTCTCCCTTTATACTCACTGTAAAGTGCCTTGCAAATTGTTGGCATTATATAAATCCTGTATTATAGTCAATCATGTGAAGATAAAATAAGCTAGCTGGGATTTTTGTATGAAATGATTGGATAATTGAAGTCAACCTTTGCAAAATGTATTGCATGAACACTTTGAAATCTTTTAGTAAATTAGCGTCATTGTGACAGAATTTACAAAACCTGTGAACATGAGTATATTAACAAATAATAGAATATGTGTCCTATTAATCTCAGGGGCACTTATTTTCAGTCTATTTAGCTGAATATGAAAAGGTGATATAGTAATATAGATTAAATTTTTTAATTTTATTTTTTTGCTGATGACAGAATTACTATATGTAAAATTAGAATCTCCCCGCTTTTGTTGGGGAAAAAAAACCCAAAAAACATTCCCCTCTGGGGGATATATGTACATTGCAAGGATTTTAACAAGGTTTGTTGCAGATTCCTACGTTTTGTTATTCTGAAGAAATAGCTGTTTGT